TCAGTTTACACAATATACTATTTATATGCTCATCTTCTAAGAAAAATGCTAGTGAGCTTCAACGCCTATGGCTACAAGGTAGGGCAACAAACCCTAAGAGATACCAATGTTGTTGGTGGCAATTGGCAAATTGTGATGAACATGTTATCTGTCAGAGGCTATGTTTCAGAACAAAACTCCCACCACAAGATGAAACCCCCATGTGGGCAAATATAACTTAACTTGGACGACAAGACTTTTCAAGAAGAGCCAAAGATCACAACACAGGTGACAAAGATGACTAGAAAGGCACGTAGATTCCTCTGCCTAATGCATATACAAATTTAGGGTACCAGACTTTGTGGCACCAAGTGAACCATGTCAATGTTAAGATCTATACCAGCAAAATTCACGAAAGATTCGGAAAGATTTTGATACTAGTTAGGGCACTACGAAACAAGAAAGATGCATGTACGTATATACAATTTTGTTTAATGTCATTTTTTTGTTGATGAATCCATACTACGCCTAAGAAAACATGATTGGTGGGTAATTAAAGAACGTAGTGTCTTTCATTCCCAATAAAGAAATATTCTCCGCAATATCAAGCTATGGTTCATGCACATAATTAAGAGATAGCATTGTAAAAGTATATCTTACAAAAATAAGATCATTCTTTGATTAAAAAGGGACATAAAAGTAAGGTCTTGAATGAAGTTTTATACAAGTGTAGCGATGGATATTTCGATGTTTCTATGCATTCACACGTTTTTCTTGGAAAATGTTTTAAATTATATGGTTAATAATAGGGATGTTTATAATCGAAATAATTCAAAAATAAAACAAAAAATGACACAAAAAAAACAACTAAAAATCGATTTGTTTTGATTTTTTAAATTAAAAAAAATTAAAATTAATTGATTCAACTTATTTTTTAATTTAAAAAACTAACTCAAACTAAACCAAACTAAAATTATAATATATACTACTAATATTAAAATATTAAATAATTATTATTAAAAGTGAGTCAAATAATATCTTAGAATTTAGAATATGTATTATTATTTTTTTAACTTAATTATAAAAGCATATAAAAATAAATTAATTATACTTTTATGATATGTTTTTTATTTAACAATTATTTGGTTATAATAAATTTAATAATTATAATAAATTTGTAAAAACTATTCAAAACAAATAGCAAAATATTAATTTAATTTAGGTCAGATTTTCTTTAAATGAAAATTGAATCGAATTGAACCTTAAATTTTATATTTAGTTTGGGTGACTTTTCAATACAAAATCAAACCGAACGGCAATACGAACACCCTTCATTAATTGTAAACATGATAAAAAAAGATTGTGTTGTTGTGAAGAAGAGACTTCTCAAAATTTGTTAATGTTTCAAAGAAATAATAAATATTTTTATAAGCTCTTTCAAAAATTATTTTATAATAATTTTGTTTGCCATTAAATTACATTATTGTCTTTTGTTTATTCCCTTGATGATTGCTCTTTACTTCCTTGGACTATATACATAAGGAATTGTTTTGTTGACAATATACCATTTAGAATGCGATTTTGACATGTGAATAAAAAATATTATTAAAAAAAATATACTATTTAAGAATGGACTTTCTTAAGAAGTTACTTCACTATTGATTAAGCATAATTACACAACATTGATGTATTAATATAGTGTATTTATTGTTTTAAAATTATATTTAGTAGTTGAATCTTTAAATTTTAATTTTAAGTAAAGTGCTTATGTAACTTCATAATATTTAAATATTTGAATATAAACTCTAAATTTTCAAATATGAATGTATTTAAATACAACACATCATAGTAACGTTTTTTAATATCATGACATTACTCTTTATATTTAATAAAGTCAAAGTAAAGTACAAATATGTGATGTAAACAATTTAAAAATAATGTTGTCAAATATTTTCTTTCAAAAAAAAAAACAAATTTGCTTCATTTTTCGTAATTTTTACTATTATAATATTTTTTAATTTTTAATTTTTTTTATAAAAAGTTATTTTCTGTAATTTTTATAAAAATATTTTCATGAGAATTTTTAGTAATGTTTGTCTCAATTTTTATTTGATTTTTTTTTTTAAACTCTATCTCATTCCCTGTTATCTATTTTACATGTTTATTATTTGCCAATCTAAAATTACAAGATTTTAAAGATTTTTTTTAAATTCAAATTATTTTCTCGACCTTAACCTACATAAGCTTCGCAGTTTTTTTGGTTTTCTTACTTTTATTTTCCGTTTCAAATTATTTTGGTAGGTTTTATCCTCTACTTTTTACCGTGTCAAAATTTTTAGTATTGTCGTATATAAGATTAATACAAATATATAAGATACAACATATGATTTAAGGAAAACATTAATATAAGGGAAAATATTGTGTACAACTTCCTTTGAAAATGAAAACTCAGATTTATTTGACAAAGGGTAGTCGCAAAAAAAAAAAAAAAAAAATATATATATATATATATATATATATATATATATAATACTTTTTTGTTTTTTTGCATAGGATTCTATCAATTAAACATTTATATTTCATTGACAGATATGGTTATTGACTATTGTCATTACTTTGTCAGATTAATCTTCAATCCAGATAAAACCAAAACATTATCAGAAAACGGGAACATTTTTGGAGGACACAAGCCGACGAATCAATTGTGATTTGTGAAGCCAATTGTCACATCACCAAACTTCGTTATCCGATAATTTTTACATACAAATACGAGTGACGAACATATTTAAGTTTTTCCTTCTTATTATACGGACACGGTGCTCAACTTAACACTTAAATGTTTTTTTGACTTAATTTTTTTTATTTTGTCATGTCAAGGTAATATGAGATGCAGTATGAATATTAATACTAGTATTCAATATGACATATATGTTGACTCAAGTCTTCCACTAAGTTGGCATAAGAGAATAAGGGAATAGATAAATTATTTGGATAGGTAAATTATAAGATAGAAAGAGGAATTTAAAAACTTCGTTTAATTGTTTTATTTATGATCCATTATAAAAATATTTAATAATAAAATAATTAATATATTATTGATTTTAGTACAAATAAACTCGAATCGTAGAAAAAAAACTCAAATTAAGTGAATATAATAATGCGGTGATGGTCTAAATTTTAGTAAAGGTTTATTAATTACTTATATATATATATATATATATTATGATAAACATATAATAAATTATGAATAATTATATTTTGCTTTATAAATATGTGTTGAACTATCAAGAAACTAACAACTTTTACTGACTAGATTTGTAACGTTTTAAAATTAAGTTTTATAAATAAAATATAACAAAGATAAGAATTTTGCTAAAGATAATTAGTTATATTTAAAAATAATAATTATCGACAAAATGGAGAAAATTTTATATCAATAATGTGATGATCCAAAATTTATATAGATTTACCTTGAAAAAACACTTTTTTTCTTGTGGTCAACTCATTCCCTCATGTGCTCTCTCATCCAATTAACACACATGAAAAGTATTCTATCCCTATCTCTCCTCATTCTCTTCCACCTTTAATATGTATTAAACAGGGACGGTTCTAAAATTCACCATAATTTTCTGTAACCATGACCAAAGAGTACTATTGTAATGATAAATAAATTGAATGACACATTATTCCTTACACCTTTATTCTACAATACAAGCAGGGACGAACTTACATGATCCATAATTTTTTTTTTTTCAAAAAGTTATTCCAATACTGTAATTATTTTAAGTTTTGTTATTTTTAACTTGCATCATCAAAAGTAAAGAAAGGGTGGTCAGTTATTCAAGAAATATTGAATCATAAATCTTGATCATATAGTTATTTAAAAAATATATTTAAGAGTATAATGCTTTCATTTTTATTTTTATCTTTTACAAAAGACTTTAATATATATTCTTATGCAATATCAAATATATTTAAGTTTGGACATCCATGACACAATACGGGATTAACTTTTTAAAGAGGAGACAGTAAGTAAAACATTTTAAGAAGATTTGTATATATGATTTAAAAATATATACTATTTGAATTCAGAGTTGGCCTTGAGAAAGTGTTAGTGGGTAATTACGGGTACTCAGATAATTTGGGTTGGATTTCATTAAACATGTCACTCGACCGATTAAAAAATTTAAACTCATAGAGTTGAAGACAGCACTAAGTTTTAAAGATTATAATAGAAAGTCCTTTATCTGAGAATGCTGCGAACTTGTGTCACCCTATTTCTTTTTCCCATTATATTACAACATCATCCCCTCTACTTCAGCAACACTTCTTTGTCGCACTAAATTTTACGTTCGAGAGGGTGTTGCCTGTTAGTCCATTCCCATCGCTACAGTTATGGTGTAATTAAAACTGGAATTGACGTTTTAGCAAAAATAGTGACTCAAAACACAACCAAAATCAAAGAAACTGCTAAAAATTACTAAATAAAAAACACGGTGAATGAATGGCATGTGCGGCAGAATTGAAGGGTGAGCATAAAATATTCTTTTGTCTAAGCTAGCAGTAATATTTTAATGACCCAATGGCAATGCAATACACAGACCAATAACATATCAAGAGTACCCGGTGCCCTATCATTTCAGTGTCACATTCCCCCATACAAATAGAAACAAGAATCCCCCGACAGCTAGAGAATATGACAACCCATCTATCTAATTCATTTCTAAACATGTACATTCAATTCAAACCAGCAATTTAATTGCCTAATTACCTATATAACCTACCCATACTCATTTTTTTTAAAAATCATAATTACGATCATACTCATTAATTCAAATATCTCCTCCCTCCTAACTATATTATCTTTATCCTTCGTAATCAATAAATTTCCCACATCTTCAATTTCCCCCTCTTGGATACATGTTCGATTTTGTAAAATTAATTTACATATCCAAATTAACTTCGACCGTACTTGATTAACAGTAACTTAATGACGCTAATTTTTTTAGGTTTCCTCCTTTTCAAGCAACGCTGATGATACTATCCCCACCGCCGCCGAACTTCCCGGCAGACATCGCCTGAAAAGCCGCCGTCGATGACGACGAGGACGGGGAAGAGTGGTCACTGCTCGCCGGCGACTGACCCTGTGACCTCGGCGTCGGCGGTGGCAGATTCAACGACAGTGGTAAAGGCTCGAGATTTGGCGGAGAAGCTTTCTCTTTCAAGTTCAAACTAGCCATCTTTGAAGATGGTGGCACCGGCAAAATCGGCGTCGGCCTGATCGGCTTGGCTAGTCTCTCACCGCTCACCGGCAACACCACCGGAGATAGACTCATCGGGAAACCTGCGCCCGGGAAACCGCCGTAATGCGATGGTGGATATGCGGTGGAGATAGGCGCCGCCGCTGTTTCTTGCTGAACTTGTTCTTCTTCCATTATTGTAGAAGATTCCATCACCTGAAATGACAAAACAAAAATCAATTAAAATTAGATCTACTAGAAAAAAAATGTAAAAACTAGTTATAATTTGCACACTAAATTAAAAGGTTAAATTACTTGATTAATCTCAAGTTAGTTAAGAAATTATTTAAACTGGAGTTAGTTTAGAACAATTCGAAATTGTGAACTAAGTCAATTAACTTAAAATAAATTATCTAAAAAATAATAACATAATTGTAGAGTAATTTACTAACCATTTTTTTTAAATCATATCAAAATTGTTTATTATTAATGTTAATTTTTGTGTGTGTAAAAGCAGAATATGAAATTGACTGTACCGTATCGGTGGTGATGTCGAAAAGGCTGGATCTCCGGCGACGGCGGTTCTGGTTGTGGCGACGGAGGAAGTACTTCTGAGCGTGACTAGCGACCTGAGTTGGCGTGCGAGTTTTCACGAAGTTTCTAGAAATTCCTCTCCAATCTCCTTTTCCGACTTTTTGCAACCCTAACAAGAACAGCCTGTGCTCCTCCTCCGTCCAAGGAACACCTTCGTTCACCAATCCAAAAACTCAATCGATCAATAAACTAATCTCTCAAACCAAACAGTGCCACAGTACTTAGCAGAACAATTAATCAATCCATTAATGATTGTTAATCTGTCAATTACTTACCTCGCTTGCGCTCGCGCGTGCGGCCAGAAGCGTGAACGACGTCGTCGGAGGCGTAGCCGGCATCGGCAGCGTTGGTATCGGCGTCGTACTGGGAGAGATTGTTCATGCTAGCGCTCTTCCTGAAAGAAGAGATTCCTTCGGTGACTCGCACGCCGAAGAGCATGAAGCCGTTCTCCCGGGGAGACGCGGCGCCACCGTCGGTGCATGTCCGAGAGTTGTGGCCGTTGTTCCCGCACTGAGAGCACGTGCGAGACATCTCAACAGTCCATGCAATAAATATATAACAAATTAACAAGATATATGTGTCTCTCTAAATATATCAATATATACGATTGTAAGATTAATGGATATGATAAGGAGAAGAAATAAAAGGTTTAAAGCAAGAGAGCGTGTTGAGTTTGTGTTTGTGATGGAGAGAAAGAAAGAGACATGGGGAGGTTTGGGTAATATATATAGAGAGAGAGAGTTTCTTTCTTCTACTTTCTATGGTAGGGTTTAGGTGTTGAAGTGTGGTGATGGTTTTTGTGTTTGTTGTGGGCGCTGCGGTACACTAAAGTTTCTTCTAGGGTTACTACTATTACCTACTATGCGGTGGGAAAGGCAAGAGGGGGTGTTTGTTTGGCACTTCAAATTATTATGGACGTGAATTGTTGTCGTCGTGGTATTGGTGGTGGTGTTTCCTTGGGGGACAGAATCCATCAATCAGGACCGTCCAATACTGTGCCATCTTTGTGTTGCCTCGGTAAGCACCACACTAAACGTGCGTTCTACCATCGTTTAGCATTTAATATATGTCCCATAATATTTATGGACACGGTGCAAATCTGGAAAGGAAAATTATGCGCAAATTTTCTTTCCACACCCAGACAAAAACAAAATAAAAGACGTAATGAATTAGGTGATGCAATAAAAAAATATTAAGTAATGCAAAAAAAATATAAACATTACATCCAATGTTCGAGTATTATTATTAACAAAAATATCTATATATTAACCAAATATTTTGATATAATTAAGAAGTACCACTAACTCGTACTAGCTAGTAGTACCACTGAATCTAAATTTTATCCATTGTTGATTGTATTCTCCTAGTTGCTTTACAGCCTTTTTTTTTACGCGTTTCCTCTTGATAAAATAAAACCTCTGTTTAAAACGAGTCATATACTATTTTCTTTACCATATTAACAGTCAAATATATGGTTGTGTTTTTAAACAATTAAGGAATAGAAAGTGTAAGAGGTGTCACTGTAATATTCTTCAAAAAATTAAAGGAGATAGCATAACAAAATGAAAATTATAATATGTAATCTGAAATTCTTCTAGGATGTCAACGTAATTAACTCGAATTAAATAAATAGCATTTTGATGATATTAATTATGTTCAAATTTTGTTTTTGAAATAAAAAAATCGGTGAGCACTAATTTCTAATTAATACATAGAAAGAAAAAAAAGTGCTGGTATTAATAAAGAATAGAATAGAGAGGGATATAAAAAAAATAGTAAATACTGATGGGTTGTACAAATTATAAAAGTGATTCAATCACTTCAAACTGCATGTCTAGCAGAAAGACCTTTTCTTCCAATTAATGGGCTCCTTTCGTAGATATGAATCCATCAAAATTATTTTTATACGCGTGAATTAAGTTTTGAAAAATTATTAGAATCAGAATAAACCTCAAGAAAAAAAATTTGCAGATTATCTGCTAAGTTTTTATATTTGAAGAAAGACATTGAAGTGAGTCCTTATAGAGGGTATGGATATTTTTTCTTATTATAATATTTGTTGGTGAGATGAATGAACTAGAGTGATGGTAGGGTATGATTGAAGGGGAAGAAAAACCTAACAATGATGAAAAACTAAACTCAGAACATTAAGAAAGTTAAATATCTGCGATCCTTGACGTTGAGAGTAATTGATAGGGTTAATGGAAAATAATATAGCTTTTGGAAAAGCAACGAGTTGAATAATATTTGATGAGCAATGGAAGAAAACAAGACATGCTTTTAGAAAGAAAAAAAAAATAGAATTAAAAAGAAAAAGAGGGGATGGTGGAGAATGAGGGTGTTTTTGCACCGTGAATTGGGCATATTCGTTGTTGCTTTGAAAAAGATTTGGTTGTCTCGTACGTTTTAAATATCAGCATTTTTGGCTTTGGTTTAATCATCCATCCAAAGTTGTGGGTGTGGTGGTATGCTTGCATTTGCATAGGATAAGCAAACATGGACCCCACCCGTCACCTACACATCTTTCTATTCACCTCACTCACCCTTTCTGTGTGGCTGTGCTCGTGACTCGTTGCTAATGGTGGGTGTGTGGTTGCCACCTTTTTTAATTCACACCTTTCCAGTTTTCAACTTTGATAAGGTATCCATGGCTATGGCGTTGAAACTTTAGTGCTACTATGATTGTGTGTTTCACCATAAAAAGTCAAATAAAGCCCTCTCAGATACTCACAACATAAATTAATCATTCAAACCTCGATAAATATATATAGTCTAATTATTGTTTTATTAAACAACTCATTTCCATTTAATTACCATTTTATTCTAACTGCATATAAATAAAACCATGTTTTTTAAAACAAGTAACGTTTGTTTTTTTCTTACAATGGTTTAATTATTATAAGAAATATATATCAATTTTCTAAATGATTGGTTCAATCTTTTCTTTTAGATACTTTTTGAAAAAATAATGAAATAATTATTTTATAGAAAAAATTAACTCATAATTTTTTACTTATGAATAAGCTTAAAATAAAAAGTTATATATGGAAAAAATTATGAGTTCATTTTATCTTCTGAAAAAACTTTTTTTTTTCAGAAATTTATCCACCGGTGTGTTCGTAGTTTTATTGATATTTCAGTTTATATATTTTTTTCTTTTCTGTGTCTTGATTAATTTAGAGTAGTTGAAGACGCAATATTTACACTGATAGAAGAAATGCATTGAAATCCAATTCAAGTCGCTTGCTTCTGGCTTTGTGTATAAGAACTTCTCACCAACCAAAAACAAATATAAAAAACTTTGTAACCACTTCACAATATAAAAGAAGTACAATTATTTTAGTTAATAATTTTTTATATATATATATATATATATATATATATATATATATATCAATTTGTACTCTCTCTCTCTCTCTCTCTCTCTCTCTCTCTATATATATATATATATATATATATATATATATATATATATTATTGAGACATATAAATAATTTTATTTTCTATCTATTCAATTTACCATTCGATGTACATTGATACCTTTCTCAATATCTAATTTTAAATTAAAATTAAAATTATAAAAAAATAGTTTAACACTTTGCAGAAGTTCTGTTGGTTTAATTTTTTTTTTTTTTAAGTGTAGGAAGCCATGAATAAATATGTGCAAATAACTCTACACACGTCATCATCCTATTAAAATATAATGAAATGCTTGTGAACATGAATTTAGTAGTATTGGTTTGTGCTACCCTTAAGAATGAATATGATATATTCATATACACATGGATCAAATGTGGGACATTAGTATAAACTTTCATTACAATTAATGTGTGCACCTTTTACATCAAGTAGGTTTAGAAGGGTAAGAAAAAAGAAAAAAAAATAATAATTATGTATTTCATAGTAAGAGTCATGTAGCAATGTATTATTTCAAATGGAAGAAAGTTATCTCTGTATTTTATGTACTTGAGATATGAGTAGTGGTATCACATGTAATATTAATGAGATGACAATTGTTACGGTAATAAAAAACTATTTCAAAATTATAAAAAATACACTATAATAATTAAATACGGTAAATAAAAATAAGAAAATCATGTCATTAAAAAAATATTGATTAGTGTATATTAAGATGATTATTTTATTATATTATATATTAATAATATCAAAGTAATATAAATTGTAATTATATTTTAGTGCAAAATGTTTTACGTTATTACTTTCATTCCACTACAAAAAAAATATATTATTTATAGCGATTAAAATTGTAGATTTTAGAAGTTAAAAACCGCTACAAATAAAATTTATAACAATTAATATAATTGTCATATTTATAGATGTCAAAAACGATTTGTAATGAAATTTTTTTAAAGGTCTGGTATTTATGTCAAAAAAGAAAAACAAAAATTTCAACGAGTTAAAAACCGCCATAAAATACATTATTATTTTCATTTTAATTTAACATTTTGTTGCAATTTGAAATTGTTACAAATGTTATTTTTATAATTAATTTTATATTTCAACAATTAAAAACCGCTACAAAATATATAATATTTTATAATTATTTAAAACTTATTGGAGGTTTAAAAAATCACCAAAAATTATTTAATTACTATTTTTTAATTATTTTATCAATAAATCAAAATTTTAATTATTATTTACAAATTATTTTTTAATAATTTTATAATTAATAATTAAAATACTTTTTTATTTAGAATTACTTTAAAATACCACCATAAGTGTAATAATAATTTAATCATTATAATAAAATCAATAATCTAATGAAATGTATAATATATTTTTCATTTGTTTTAATGACATAAAATATTAGTTTGATTCTCACTAAAAAATGGTTAAATTTGTAGTTTTTATATATAATTCACTTTGAGAGAGTACTTAACTAAATATAATTCAATATCAACTAAGATAAAATCAAATTTCATCCTAAAAGTCCAATAAAATTCATCACATTATTCATTAATAAAGAGTATCTAACAAAATACAATGTCAATAGATCCACAAATTTCATAACATATATTTCATAACATATATGTCAAACTTAATGAAAATTATTATCCAATGAGTATCCTCCTATGATATTGACATATTTCATTCACTTGCTTCATCCTGTGAAATAAAAATAATATCATCTTAATATAGTTAAAAAAAAAAAAATATATATATATATATATATATATATATATATAAGATATTAAAATCCATAGAAATAATTAACAACATAATTCTATTAACACAAAATATGAAATACTTACATATAATGTCAAACTTTATGAAAATTACTATCTAAAAAAGATTCTCCTTGTGGTGTTGACATATCTTGTCCACTCTCTTCATCCTATAAAATAAAGATCATAAGCATAATTAGAAATTATACATAAGATATTGAACTTTATACGAGTATTGAATAATATAATTTCATTTAAAACAAACTATAAAGTACTTACAACTATATTACTTGTACTACCAAACATGACACCCAACTCAGGAGGAATGTGTCCTTCTTTCATTTGGATGTATGCAAGCATGACACTTTTTAATGTTTTGACATTTTCTTCGAAGTTGCTAATTTTTCTCTTAAATGAATAACTGCCTCTTTCAATTGAGAATTTCCACTCGAATCGGAATTTGAGAAATTGCACCTGCACTTGCTAAATCTTGTGGTAGATCGAAATGCAACACTATGAAGACCTCCTAGTCCTGAGACAACGTACACGCCCAGGATGATCCTTTCCCAAGCACTTTACTAACGCAATCATTAGCTGAAATTTCTGTAAAATTGACACTTTGACTCATTTCTTGTGTTATTTTCTCTTGTAAATAGAATAAATACAATTGTTTGATATTCATATTAATATTATACAAAGGAGGTTGTAAAATAAGATAGATGCAAAGTCATGATATTTGACTTTAATTAAGGTAAAATAAGCACATCCCTTTAATTATATTTTGTCTCAACAAAGTTGTTTTCAACAATAACATCAGTATGACCACACTAAATAATACAACTTAAACTCAAACATTCTATATGTTTATGATTTATGATATGATTACGTGTAAAAATATAGAAAGCTGAAACAAGACAAAGTTTACCCCATACGCTGTTGAAATATGTGGTTGGAAATTGGAATCCTAGATGCAAAGCTTCAAAACCAGAAGACATATGTATAGAAAGAGTATTATTTCACATGTTTAAACACATTACTTGTTATTAAACTTACCACTATAGATCTTGTCTCCTCGTTAACATAAGATCCATTTTTTTTCTTGTGAGTTGCAATGTACAATTCTCCTCGACCTACAAGCACGTCCAAGATTTATTTCCTATAATATACATGATCATATAAGTTTAGAAGAATACTATAATTTTTTTTTGTTAAATTTAACAATAAAACAAAAATAATTTACCATTTCATGCTATGCATATAAAAAATTTAGATTAAAAAAAAGTATTTATGAAATTTTCTTGATATATAAAGAATATAGAATATTGACGAGATGATGTGAATGAGAAATACGAGTAATGAAAAAGGCATATGCAGGAGTCTAAAACACAATTCACGGTGACATACACTAAAAAATTACATAAATTAAAAATCAGTAATAATATAATGTAATTAAATTAGAAATTAACAATAAAAGAAACAGAAGACTAATTAAATGCAGCATCAAATTAAAGTTTATTTTTCTCCTTTTACTCAATATGCAATTAGAATTCAACATATATTGTTATTGATGCCAAATTCATAGGCATAACTTCAGCCTCTGACACTTTTTGTTGTTGAAGAAAAGTGTAAAATACTTACCTTAACAAGACTATTCAGTCAATTCTTTTAGTATTTGTTTTTGGAAAATTCCATTGATTATGCCTGCAACATTAAATAAACAAATATTTTTCCATGATTAGATTAAAACAAAGACGCTAAATCCATCTAAAAACTCTGCATACATATTTTGGTCATAGCTCATGAAAATCATTATAAAATTGCACTGCAAAAACAGAGTCCATTAAAGTTCATATACTATATGTTTTGGATTGTCTAAAAGGCCGAATATATTTCTTTCATTGTTCTTAGTTGTAATTTTTTTTATTCATACTCACTTACTAAAAGAATATTTAAAGTAATTTTAAGAAATTTTAATGCTTTATGCTTTTCCACGTAAACATGAAATGACATATTCAGTGTTCATGCACTCCAATTATTATTCTAATGCAGCATTGAACCTTATACCTCACGTTTTCACACTAGACTTTTGTAATTTCCTTGGGACTGGAACTGCGTTATATACATAAATCATATTGCCTAATGCAACAAATTATGGTCAAATATAGCAACTATAATGAACAGAACATAAAACAATTTCTGCATATTTTTTCTTCACCTTTCTTGTATATTTTTCATAGTTAACTAACAGTTTCTGATAAGCATTCAACTTACCTATAGTTAAGTAGTTTCTAGCATATCTAACCCAAAAAATCTAGAGTCACTGATAAGTAGTAGACAAAAGCTTACTAGATCCACCTTTAGACGTAACCACTCTACCTTTGATTAGTTCCAAAGTGGCTTTAAACAAGTCAGAAAACAAGTCAGAAAAATAATTTTATCATCTTCCATTATTTTATCCCAGTCAAATCTCTCGGCAATGCCATTCAACAATTCTGCTATTTGCTCATATTTCATAGGACGCAAGTTTCCAAACTCAAAACCAAACTTCTTATATTCAGTACCTATTCTAAAAGACCACGTGAAAAAATTAACCACCTACAGACATACAAGCTAGTTATCAACACAAAACAACTTAAATTTTAAACCTCCAAGAAAACTAGTGAGGTGCTATATAAACTTAACTAAAAATACAAACTCAAACGAGGAAACTGGATGCAGGACCAAAAACCGCATAATAACTATCCAACGGCGCAAAATCTTAGAGGTAATTGTACCCTTGCACCCTATCGCACCAGAAAACTCCCCGTCTCCCTTATCCTGCGCACTTCGCCACTGCCACCACAATGGCGGAAGTGCCCGAAACCAATCCCCCACCGCCGGACCCTCCAATCCCCTCCGCACCGGACGCCACGGAGGAAACGGCTCCGCCGGCTGCAGCAACTGCATCGCAGTCGAGCACCGACATCGTCGCCCCTCCGGCGTTAGCTCCGAAGCGGCAACGCCGTCCGAGTGTCCGTCTTGGAGAGATTGGAGACCAACGCGCCGCCGTACACGGCCACGAGACTTATTACATTCAAAACATAAACCAATTCCAAGCAATTGTATCAGTTAATCCATAACTATCTTAATTCTTCTACAACAGCTTCAAAGTGATAAAAACAACCTAACATCTTGGCCCAGTTGTTGTTAAGTGTATGTCCTGGGACAAAGGTGTTAAAAAAAATGGGATCCAAGTTGGAAGATTAAAAAACAAAACCTGATAAAAACAAATTGAAATGCAAATTGATTCTAGAACGAGAGAGAAAGCATGCCTTCAGCAACCAAATCACTTTTCAGTTTCTTTCATGCATTCCTTCGAACACCTGAAAGACAATCGAAAATCAAAACTTAGTTATTCCAAAATAGTTAATTGTCTGTCACAAGTTCTACAAATATGTCCTACAGCAATTAACAGTGACTCAATAATTCGCAATGTGGCTCGAAATACAAACAGAACAACAACAAAATACAACGAAACAAGAAATGATATTAAAAGTTTTGTACTCGAGGTTAAGGAAAAACAAAGAACGGTTGAATGTAGATTGTCATGCGTCACACAGAGAAGAAAAGGAGAAATTAGCATATACTGTAAATTGAAGAACAAATGATAGATAAAACTCTTGTAATTTTCCACAAAAATCACAAACATGTGAAATTAAAAAGTAAAACGTAAGAAGGATTAAACCTAAATTGGTGATTGAGAGAGAATATGTTACCTTGCAGTGAAGGATGAAACGTTATAGTGAAAGATGAATGTGAAAATGAATGAAACGTTAAAGAGAGAAAGAGATAACGAAGAGAGAAAGAGAAGGTAGAAGAAAGTGAGAGAATGAAAAATGAAAATAAATAAAAATAAAATAAAAAAATTTAAAATTAATTATAATTATTGTGTCGGTTAAATTTTTTGTCATAAATTACATTTAATTTTTATGATTTTTATAACTCACTGAAAATAAACCTCTAATAATTATGAAGTTTTTTGTAGTGTTCAGTGAGTAAAATTAATTTGATGTAACAGATTTTTAAAACTAAAATAAATCTTTTTATATCATATTGATGTAAATTTGTTTTATAACTCTTTTATTATTAATTTTTTATGAAGTTTTTTATTTATTTAAGATTGTTTTTTACGTGTTTAGAGAAGTAATCTTTAATATTATTATTATTATTATTTCCTTTCATGTTATAGGAAAGAAACTATAAACTTAAAATAAAGAAGAAACAACTATAAACAAAAAAAGATACGAGAGAAAAAAACGAAGAAACATTTAAAAAATCATTAAGAGAAAAAAAGTTACAAAAAGAAATAAATCACTCATTCATTATCACCGTCACTAGCGGAAAAGAAGGTGTCGGAAGAAGTAAAATCTTAACTCAAGCTTAAAGCTGAAGAGTAGAAAGAAGATATTTGTTTTTTTTTCTATACTAACTAGTTATTTGTCTCTCTAATTCCTACTTATCAACAATTTTTTACATGTTAGTGTCCATCTTCTCCATTTGTGTAATCTCTAATTGTAATTGAGAGTTCATTAAAAATTAGAACACATAAAATTGATGTCAATTATTATAGTCTCACACTTAAATTTATTTTGATTATTGCATAATTTGACATAAATTTGTTAATTCTAATGTAACAAGTACATTGATTTATCACATAAACAAAAGAAAAAAAAACTAAAGACAAGTAATAGTATTAATCTTTGTAATACCTCAATAACTATATATTTTGTGAACAAATATGCACATATATAATAATGTATAAGAAAAAAAAATAGAATTAACTAACTATTTACAAATAGTCTTCCTCAAGTAAAAAAATGATACATCAACAACACCGATTTGGTCTTCAAGACTTTTCAACATTTCAAACTTCAAAGTTTTTGTCAAAATGTAAGCAAATTGTATATCAGACCTGCAATGTTCAACCTTCAATTTTCCATTTGAAACTTGATCATGGATGAAGTGAAATCTGGTTTCAATGTGTTTGCTTCTACCATGAGAGATTGGATGCTTGACAAGATCTTTACAGATTTGTTATCAATCAACAACTTCAATTTACATGTTTGTTTTACATTCAACTCCTTCATTAGTGAATTCAGCTAAATTGTTTGATAAGCTGCTTCAGAGGCAACTATATACTCAGTCTCACACGATGAAAGAGTTACCACTGGTTCCTTTGTAGAGTTCCAAGAAATTGGTGACTCTCAAAAGAATTGGTTCTTGCATATATCTACTCATCAACCCAACACTGAAATTCAAATTTGGTCTAGTGTTACACAGATACCTCAGGCTTCCAACAATACTTCGGTATTATGTAAAATCAACCCCCTCTTCATCAAGACTTTTCTCAAGCCTCAATCCTACTTTTGCAGGTGTGTTTGCATGATTACTTTGCTGCATTTCAAATTTCTTCAGCATATAACGAGCACACTTTATCTGATGTATATTCATCCCATATGGAGTTTGTTTGAACTCAATACCCAAGAAATAACTCAGATTTCTCAAGTCACTCATCTCAAACTCCTTTAGAAGTTCATTACTGTAGCAAACTATCAACTTTTCATTGCTGTCAGTGGTCAAAAGATCATCAACATACAAGTATATGATGATTTTTTTTCAACTTTATTGTTGTTCTCCCATACTTATACATAGACTGCATGTTCAATATACACTTAAAACCAATTTTGTTAAGACTATCAATTCGCTTGTTTCATGCTCTCAGTGCTTGCTTAAGCCCATATAATACCTTTTTCAGCTTATATACTTTTTGTTTTTCAATCTTATGCTCAAACCCCCAAGGTTGTTGCACATAAAGTTCTTCTTCAAGAAGGTCATTTAGAAAAATTGATTTAACATCTAACTGGTGTAAAGCCCGGTTAGCATTTGTGGCAATAACAACCATCAATCTAATGGTTTCAATCCTAGCAACAGGCATAGACTTCACCATAGTCTATTCCAGCTCTCTGTAAAAAGCATTTGGCTACAAGCCTTACTTTGTATCTTATAACTTCACCCTTTGAATTTACTTTAATCTTATAAACCTACTTGAGTGCGTTTGATTTCTTGTCTGATGACAACTCAACAAGCTCCCAGGTTTGATTCATTTTAATTGAATTAATCTCCTTCTGCATAACTTTCCACCAATGAACCTCTTTGGCATCTTCTTTGAACATGATCGGCTCAAACTCTATAATTTGTATAATAGCCTTGAGGTCAAATAGTTTGTATTCACCTATCACATGATAACCAACTAAAATTTGTGGCGTGTTTTTGTCATCAAGTTTCTTTCTCAACTGCTCAGACACATGCATATAACACATTGAACCAAATATCCTAAGGTGTGTTATATCAGGCTTAACACCTGTCCAAGCCTCTTTAGGTGTCATCATCTCCAAAAGCTTGATAGGAGACCTGTTTAACACATGTGCAACTGTGATAACTGCTTCCCCCTAAAAATAACTTGACAAAAACTTGTTTTTCAACAAGGAACAAATCATATTTAGCAAAGTTTGGTTTCTACACTCAACAATATAGTTGTTTTGAGGAGTGTACAGTGAAGTAAACTTATGGATGATGCCTACTTTCTCACAAAAGACATTGAATTCGGCTAAGACATATTCACCTCCACCATCAGACAACAACACCTTTATCTTGTTTCTATTTTGCATTTCAACCATTCTTTTAAATTTTTTAAACACAAACAACACTTCATTTTTTCTTCTCAACAAATAAACTCACATTTTCTTTATGAGATTATATACAAAAGTAACAATATACCTATTTCTACCAAGTGTTTCAACCTGCATTGGCTCACAAACATCATAGTACACCATACAAAACTTCTCAGTTGCTTTGTCAGTCACAAATTTCTTGAACTTTGGTTTGACCTGCTTATATTGAATGCATTATTTACAAAATTTCTCTAAAATCACAATTGAGGGAGTCTAGTAAGTAGATTCTTATGACTAAGCTTATGAAAATGCTAAAAATTCAGATGGTTGAACCTATTATGTCATAATCACTCACTCTTATTATCTTCAGTGACAAAACATTCATGCCTTCATGTATTCATATCAACACATAAGGTTTTCAGAAATATTTGCATGAACCATCAATTTATGATTTTTGTCATATACAGTCAAATCATTCTCCTTCATTTTCATGACAAATTCTTTTTGCAAAAGTTATTTAAGACTCGTCAAGTTTGTTTTTAAACCTAGTACATACAACTCATCACCAATGATGATTTCCCTACCATTATGATCCTTCAACACTACACGTTCAACCCCTTCTGTATTAAGAGTGTTGTTGTCGGCAAATCTGATTTTGCCTGAAGACGCATAATTAATCTTGATGAACTAGTCTTTCCTCTCAATCATAGGCGTGGGGTGCATCAAATCAAGGTACCAAGAAGAGGTTTCTTCTGAATGTATATCATTGGTTTTGGCCATCAGCATCACCTCATTAGAATTTGAAGAAGCATCATCTTGAGCTAAATTAGCTTGGTTCTTTGGCTTGTTCTTGACACCTTCACCATCCCAACATTCACGTGCAAAGTGATCATACTTCTGACAATTGTAACATTTCACCTTATTTTTGTCAAACTTCAATTCTTTATCATCATCTTTCTTATTCTTGAAAGTATTATCTGTTTTCTCATCTTGTTTTTTTTTTTTTTGAACGTTTTTTTTTCTTTTTGAGATACTGTCTTTTTTTCTTTGAACAACTCTAACTTGAATAACATGATCAAATATCTGCAGCAATGTTCTCATAATCTTATCAACAACATGTTAATAAGTGATTATGTTTCTGCAAGATCTCATTGCATTCACATGTTCTTGAACTTTATTAAATAAATAAACAATGGTTTCATTGTCATCCATGCTAAGAAACTCAAATTTCCTCCTCAAGGTCTGCATCTTTATCTTCTTGTTCTTGTCTCCATCTCTATAAGTCTTCAACAAAATATCGCAACACTCTTTTATAGTTACAACTTTAAAAATTTTGTTGAAGATATTTGCTCCAATACATTGGTAAATGAAAAATATGACATTGTTGTCCAACTTTTGAAAATTCTTGAAGAGCTTCTTGGCTTCTTCTATAGCCTTGTTTCTAGGATCTTCAAGCTCACTCATCACCACATGCGCTACATCTTGAAACTCAAATACAACTAACATCTTTATCTTCCAATCATCCAAGTCTTTTCTATCAAATACTGGTATTGTTGTACCTTTAATGATACTCTCATTCTCAACCATCTTGAATTTGTAAATCAAAGCTTGATATATTCAATTTTTCTTCCGTATTTTCAAAATGGTTCACCACTAAAGAGAATCGTCACGAGCTTTACATACTGACATTCATCAAAATACTGACAACAAAGATAAGAAAGTCACACTTTACTCACATGATACACTTTGTTTTTAATATCATGTTAATTTCAATATAACATTGATTTATCACACAAAAATAAGAAAATAGAGAGAACAAATAAAAACAACCTAGAAATAACAGGAAACATTTATATATTTTATGAATAAATATGTACATGTACAACAATATATAAAAAAACATAATTAACTAATTTTGACTTTTTACTAACAAAATTAACTGTTAATTAATTATTTCTATATAAATTTTTGTCTCTCTTTGTTAATATAGATATATAAAAAATATTTTACATATCATAATATAAATTAAATAATAAATAAAATATTATAATATATAAATAAATATTTCTTATTTACAATAATATGTTAGAACAACATATAAGAAATATATTAGAGACATAATGAAACTATATAATTATCCACTGGTAACCACCAAACAATTTGAAAGGTTAAATATGTATTGCGTGTATACTAATAAGTGTATACTAAAAACACAGTAGACACGTAATGGAAAAAAAAATTATATATATATATATTATCATTTGTACGATGTTGTTAAATTGTTTCAGCAACAACGCACAACCCTGTGGTAGCCAATGATATTTATGGATCACATGGTCCACAAGGGTGGCTATCGGTGTTATCGAGAAGCACCACTCTCTTTCATGTATATATATTATTGCATTATATATTATTTTCTTTTCTTTACTGCGTCAGAAAATAAAGCCAAAAATTAGACCTAAACAAAGACTTATCAATAGAATCAGTAAGAGCTTAAAAAATATTATTTTGACAACCACATTCCATCAGACATTTAATTTTAGTATTACAACAATATGAATTAAAATGTTAATAATAATTATTATTATATTATTAAATAGAGTTATAGAATAGCTGTGTGGATAAAAAATAATGATATATGATTGTTCTAAATATTAATGATTTGAGTGTTATTTATGGTCAATTTTGATAGTATCCAATTGGTTGAATTGTTTACGGTAATTAACATGTCCTTTTTCGCCACTCCTTCTCGTCAAATTATCTAGAAAATGTATGGAAAAATAGTTCAACGCTCAATGGCATATAAAAGTATATTAAATATTAGCAGTAATAAATAAATAATAAATATCTTAGACTATCACCTATTTATATTGTTTACGTAGGTTATCTTTTGGACCTTGAGTAGTCTTCTTAATTGAACACTTAATATTTCAGGACAAGATGCCGAGAGGGTTGGGTGTTACACATTTAAAATAGTTTTATTTTATTTTTTATAGAATTAATTATAATTTATATTGTAATATTTATTATTATAAAAATTTAAATATCAGTTTGTCAGAATAGAGGACGAGCGTGAACATAGATTTTGTAAGTAAAACTTCTTAGATCTTATATACGAGGGTGAAAGGGGAAATCACATGTCTATAAACTTTATCAGAAAAATTATATTGAAAAATGAAAGATGAAAGTTTTACATAAGCTTTTCACGTAACCCACAAGAATTGATGATATTCATGTACTATAAACTACAAGGATGAATAGTCAATGGGTATAATTTTTTTTTAATAACTCGTTGAATATCTGTCAAATCGCTTTAGGGGCACTTCTTTTTAACAACCTCACTAGCCCATTTTAATAAATAGTTTGATTTAGGAAAGTGCTGAAGTCTAAAATACGTAAAATGTCATCTGAGTTAGGACTTTAAGAAAACACTCACAGTAAATATTAAATATAAACATTCGATGAATTGGTGCAAAACATGAGTTGAACTCAGTTTTTTGGGTGTTCTTTGCTTTATTTCTTTTGTTTCTATTATTTTTTATATTTTATTTGTTGGTGCATATTGGGTTTTATTTTACTCAATCTTTTCATCACAGCAGTGGATTAGGTAGTGGCTCAAAAAAATTATTCCATTGACCTAAATCAATCCAACTCACTCATAGCCAATGGGATTGAATTGGAATTTCGGTCTATATAACGATGTTTCAGATCTAGTTTTAAAGGTAAAAAACATGACCCAAGGATAATTTTTATAAAAAATATTAATAGAAAAACTTCAAACTAAATTAATCACTAGTAAGTGTTGACAATAACTTAAAGAAAAATCAAATTAGGAAGGAACTGAATAATCTCGAAGAAGATGAATTGTATTCAGGGTGATTTTCTTAATAATTAAAAAGAAAAAAACATTTTAAAAGTGCAACAAAATATAACACAGACATGTCAATAATTGTGCCTAAAAAGAATCAATGGTTCGACTGAAATTGAAATAATTGCCTAGTGAGACTATACATGGTGGTGACATCTCTATTCTCCAATAATCAAAATCACCACAGACAAATAAAAAATAGTGATTAAACCTAATCTCATTTTATTTTATTATGTTTGAGTGTAAGTTGAATTTGAGCTCTTTGCCCACCATTGGTAGCTCCAAAGATTGAGGCTTTGAAGGAGAAAGGGAAGACCCACACTACTTAGTCAATTTTTTAATTTAGAAGTCATCAAAGGAGTTAACATTTTTATTTGTGGGTTGAGCCCCTTTTTTCATATCAGGAGCCTTACAACTTAAAACCAGTCCATAACATAGGATGAAGAAAACGAATTAATTTTAATGAGTAAAATTTCAATTCATTTGAAAGTGAAGAATTGAGTTGATATGTTTAATTTATTAGTTTGTTTTTATCGGTTTTATTTAATTTATTAACTTTAAGGATTAAAAGCGGGACCGATAGAGATGGACTTATTTTTTTAAAATATTTTCTGATTCAAATAAAATCAAATAAATAATTATATAATTAAAAATATTTTTTAAAATATAAAGATATTATATATATACATATATAAATATTAGTAGATTAATCTCTATTATATCTTCTAAGACCAGTCTTGTTTTTGTTAGGAAGAATAAAACTATAACCTACATTGTTTTTGTCAGATTATATCCACATGCATAAGTTTGCATATTAGTAGCTTGATTCACACAACTTTGGTTTCAAAGTTATGAAAAACACTAAGAATATTTTCAATAAGATGATAAGTAAAATATTAGTTATTTTAAACAAATTTTATTAGAAGAATCTTATGAGAAATGATAAATTATTTATTTTGTTTATAAAGTAATTTATAAAAATAAATAAAATAAAGATTTTTTTATTATACTTATTAAAAAATTATATTAAAATAAAATAAATAATAAATTATTCAAAAATATGTGATCCAATAAATTTATATTATATACATATATTTTTTAATTATTATAATTACAAAATAATCTTATGTTTAGCGTTTACTTATGTAAAACTATTTTCATTCTATCAATAATATTATATATATATATATATATATATATATATATATATATATATATATCCTTCAATACTATTATTTCAAGAATATTAACATTTTTTGTTTATATTTTTTACAATAATTGATATTCTCATTTTAATAATTTGTTATAATGTGCATAACTTATTATTTTATAAATTTTAATTTTAAGAATGGTCAATAAACTTTTGATAAAAATTATTTATATTTTTACCTTCAAAAGCATAGTAGCATGACAGCATCTAAAAATCCATACCAGTTCCTCGTCTCCCTCGTCTTGAACAATTCCACGTCATCCATTGATAACAAACTTCGATGGAAGCGGGAACTGCTCTCACTCTCACTTCCCGATTCCACACTTTCTTTCCCTTTAACACTGCCGATTCAAATACTTCTTTTCAACCGCGATTCACTCTTTCATCTCCTTCTCCTTCTCCTTCCTCTTCTTCATTTTCCGCTTTCAGTTACAGAGGCCCCACACCAAAACGCGATTTCCTCGCCGATTGGGTTTCCCAAAACGACGATGTCGTCCGCACCCTCCCAATCTACGTCGGCTCCGCCTCTCTCTTCGCCGTCCTCCTCAACCGCGCCCTCTCCGGCATCGCCCCCGTCGCTGACGCTGGCAGGTACCTCTCTTCTTTCGTCTCTTAGCTTAATTATAACTCCTAGATTGGGGCTTGTTATTATTAGGCCTTGTTTGTTTATTGTTTTCAAAATCAGTTTGGTTTAATGAGTGATTGTCAATTGAAGTTCGCAGTCCAGAGCTGACCTATTGACTTTGGGATTGGCCGTTACCAATATTTTGACTGGCCTCGTTTGGCTTTCAATAAGACCTAAGTCTATAACTGTGGTGAGCTTCACTCCTCTTTTGCATCGCACTTTTTCATTCCAAACGTGTTTCTAATTGGATTTATTATTTTGTCCAGGTAAATCCTCGAGGAGTTGAATGCAAGAGATTGTGCTCTACCCTTCCTGAAGTTGCACTTAATGAGTTGCTTTGGTAGGTGCATTGAGTTACTAAATTTAGTGCATGTAATTAATATTTTTTAACTCATAAGAATTGAACATATATACCACGAAGTTTACTACAAGTCTACAACTCACGTACACTGTTTAACCAACCGAGATACACCCCCTTGTTACTTGAATGTAATGCATTCACGAAATCTTAGTTGAGGATTAGACAGTTCAAATATGAAATGTCTGTTTCAAGTCCAGTTTACTGAGATAGCATATTAGCTGTACAATTGTTATCCAATTGGTTAACTTCTGAATCTGTAAAATCCCTAACTGCAGGGAATCCGGATTCTTGGCTTAGGTTTTATCAGGTGCTATTAGTAAAATAGATATAAATACAATATGACATGTTTTTTTTTTTTTTTTTAATTTATTGGAAGAAAAAAATCGTGCCCTGTGATCAGTGATAATGGAAGGTGCTGCTTAAATAGTTTTACCTTGTGTTTATTGATAGTATCTTTAATAATATCTTCTCAGGGTGTGGGAATCTCTGTCAGATGCCACTTGTTGTCGATCGCTAGTTGTTGTTTATGAGAGCCGTTGTGTACTCCAAATAGGTTTTGCTGCCGAATCTTCTACTGGGGATGATGAGGCTGTAAATGTGGATGCCAATAAATTGATGCAAGGATCAGTATACCAGGGAGTTTTGAAATCTGGTGCTCGTAAGTTTTGAACCATGTTTGTGTTTCTATCACAACCTTTGCTACTCAAATACAGTACTTTTCATGAAGATGTGCCATGGTATTTATTGAAAATTCTTGATTTTTTTTCACATGATCAGAGAGTTACTTGGCAAATCTATCTCTTTATCCTGGGAAATCTGAGCTGCCATTTATACCTTCAAATACTCAGGTATTGTGTTGAAACTTGTCCAGTTAACTAATATGACGTGTCTATGTTATTCAATATTACAGTGTATTGCACACGCTTTTGTTTAGAAAGAGTGAAACAGGGGGTGTGGTAGTATAATGGGGATAAGTGAGAGTCTTGAAACCTAGCTGTATGTCCAATTAATCTTGGGAGTCGATAGCTTGAATGACTTTCAACAGTTCTTGGCAACTGTGAGTACACGAGTTTTTGGAGCTAGATCTCTAAATAGAAGCCGCATATTTTAATCTGAATGTAGTATTTAGTCCTTAAATTTAATATTTTTCTTCAGTTTGATCGTTTTACTTTTATTTATCTTCTCTAAGCTATCTTTTATGCGTCCAGCAAATTGGTCCTTTCCATTAATTTCATTTAACTCCGTTAATGGCAGTTCGTATGTCATTTATTGCTATTTCATTTCAGTTTCTCTATCTTTGAGAAGTCCAACCTAGTTGGTTCTTTCGTTGGTTTTTTCTTCCCTCACCCCACACACTTTATTTCCAAAAACAAAGAGCACTGGTTGACATATTTTGGCTTAATTTCTGGCTTTGTTATTAATTTCTTATTATTGTGTCAACATAATGTACAGTAGAAACACGAAGCACTGAGGATTTTTATTGTGTTTGCGTGAATTTGTAGCCAAAAACTCATTACATGCGTAGTAGACAATGTCTCCATTTTTTAGGTTTAAGTAATTTCATTAATGTTCACTCCCACTTTGGAACCAGCTCCTAAGCATATATGTGTACTTCCTGCAGTATTATTGAGTCAAAATTGATAGCAGATGCAAAAAATGCCATTATAGTTTATTGGCTGCATAAAATTATACAAACACATTCAAGGTACCAGTTATAACTTGTAAGAGAAGAATCCAAACATGCTACAATACCAAGTTTCCCACTACAGCATATTTTGCATCAAAATCAATGTTTTACAACAGTGAAAAATGAACACGATGATTTGAGAATGAATGTATGAGAAAGGATGCTTAAGAGATAATTATCTCTCAGCTGATTCATTTGAGTATATAAATATTCTTAAATCAGAGATACAAAGAGAAAATATTAAAGGACTACACCCAGGTGATAGATAGGTACCACAAAAATCAGTTTTTTAGCTTTCTCAGAGTTGGCCAGAAGATAAGTTAACTTATTCTTACAAGTTAAACTATTCTATCATATATAACTATAACTTACTCTATAAACTATGTTTTTTGTGACTAAATTAAATCACACAATTTATTCAACTTGCACTTCAGAAAAGAGATCAGCATAGAAACTCCTCCTTGACAATCATTACTTTGTAGTAGATTCATCTTTGACATCTCAGAAAGTGTTTTTCATGCTACACTACTATCCATGACTAGAGGGACTGAATGGACGTATGGATTTGTGGGAGGAAAAGCTTGAGAAAATAACTGATTTTGCACTAACTGTTCTATATTTGAATTAGAAACAGCCTTGATAATTTATACATAGAATATAACCGATGGAAATTTTGTATTAGGGTATACATCATAATAAGATGTGTAATTAGGGAGGCTATTGTTATATACAGTTTCTGGAATGACTACCCTTGTAAGAGACTTTTATCTGTGGAACAGCAAGTGTATTGCTATACTTTGTGTCATTTTTATGTTCAGCGTTATATTAGATAGCTTTAACAATGGGTATTCTATTAGTATATTTTTTTGGCAGCCCAAATTCTTTGACTGACATGCATATGAGAGATGATATTATCTATCAATGTTCAAATCAGTTAATGTGAAATATATGAGAAGGTTGGGAAAAAGATAATGTAAAATCTGTTAGGGTAAGCATGATTCCATTGATCCCCTTTCCTCAAACCTTGATAAAACTTCATTTCCTCTTTATGAACATTTTTGTGATTCCTGTTTATATAGTCTTCTGCATGCCTCTGTTTATTCGGGGGGAGGCTGGATCTCTCGGGGCGGCACCACTGACCTCCTTTGTGATAAATATCTACTATCTAATAACAAAAGTTGCTCATACGATTATTATTTTGCTAGGCAGTAATTTTACAGCCACTTGGAGATAAAGGAATTGCAATTATTGGTGGTGACACGATACGAGGTTACACTGCTTCTGATCAGGTACATTCCTACCTTTTTTTTTCTCATGCCCGAATTTATCGAAATCATTGGATCCTACGGCATGTGAAAATTAGGTTAGTAACCTTTTTTTCCGAAGCATTATTACAACCCCTATTTAAGATGTCGTGGACCGAAAGAAAAAGGTAAAACTATTGAGACGTCGAATTTCAGTTCGGACATGACACTAGACAGTAGTACAAGTACATTTGTAGGTCCTGCATATTGTTTCCTATTTCTGAATTCAGTGAGACACATATGTGGGTTAGTCGCCTTAATATTCAAATGATTATTACAGGCATGGATCACGTATATTGGAGAGAAGCTGGATTCTACCCTTGCAAAATATGTGAAACATCACCCTCTGACTCCTCAAGATTAGGTTTCAGAAATTTGCGAGGTATCTCGTGCTTGATTTTACTCAATTTTAATGGAAATTAATCCTCGAACTTTCTACCGAGTTTTTTAGGATAACAGGCTAATATTGATCACATTTATGTTATCCATGCTCAAAGTGATTATTAGTCAGACTAATTCAAAGTTGGTAACTTTATGTATACATGAGCGCATATTGTTAACTACTTCTACCAGTTGACTTTTACATTAGTTCTGAGATTTTCATTTGTACCAACCGCTCCCTCAAGAGAAAATAAAGGATTAGGATAAACATACAAGGCCACAATCTCCCAAGTCCTTCCTGAAGAGATATCTAATTAATTCAGTTGTGGCTTTCTATTTATAGCTTACAGTCGCAGAGCATAAAATATTCAATATTGACTTGCAGTTTATCATTAGAAACTTCTGTTAGGACAAGTTTGATTGGTTACGACTTAATGGCTAGGTAAATATAGAGGGCAAAAATTATTGCATTGAAGCTTGATGTACATAATAGGCCCCCAAACTATAGCAAACCAAACCCCACATTTTCTTAGAGGATAGTGAAATTCATCAAGATCACGCCAAGGGAGCAAATCCAAATCCAATAAGGTACTGTACAGGTATTAGTTAGCGAAAGGGGTAACAATTAAATTTAATATATCTAGAGTTAGCATATGAAGATTTTATTTAGTCTTACTGGATGTTATATACAATATATACTTATTATTAGAAAAAAATGAAAGAGAATTCATTCACAATGCTGGAAATATACATCTGTATGCGTCTGTTTCATATCTATAAAATCATTTAAAAAATAAGAAAAACAAAATTTCTGTAACAGAAAGGGCCCCCCCAAAAAACAATGAAAAGAATGACTGCTTAACAAGTGTGATCATTTGTGCTTTACATGGGTACCAGCTACCAATATGTTAGCACCCTCATTAGTATCCATCATAGAGAAGACATTTCCCAGGGCATCAACCCTGTTGCAGGATCAGCAAAATAAGACTGAAGAAAGTCCTTCAAGCCAGTATCCCAAACCTCACAAAACTGAAGCCGCCAGTTAGATGGTTCAATGGCTTCTGTTCCTAGTCCTGGTGCTCTATCCTTTGAGCCTTTGTTCTGATCCTCCTGCCAGTCCACCACATAGGTAGCAACCCTTCTGAAAAACTTGGCTTTGAAAGTCTCCCATACCTGGTACTTATAGTGGTTTACTATAGCAGTACCTTCAGGCATGTTGTGGTACCTGAACCCCTGCCTCAGCTGAAAATGATGCACTACATTCAGAAGACTGATGTCAAGCAAATCCGGCCGCACAATGGATTTGTGCCGCTCAGGGCTCTGAAGCCTGCAAGTGTACCCCAGTGTAACCCCTTGTTTAGGGGGCGAGTGTAACCCAGAAGGCCCGAAGCTATGACAAGCTGTTCTTATCTCCGCAATGGACTTCGACGATGAGAAATTGGCAACCACCGATCTCAGAGAATTCTCACCAGGAACACCCTCCCTCAAATTTTGATGAAACTCACTGGGGAAGTAGAAGAACTCATCAACATCAAAGAACCCTACCCATTTGCATTCCTCTCTAGCCCTCAAGGCACAGTGGGAGAACCCTGCCTCCTGGGTCTTAATCCAAGGCCAGGACTTTCTACTGACGTTAAATCCTTGAAGATCAAGATCCTGAACAACCTTTTCAATATCATCATCACTGTTGTTATCATAGATAAACCAACGCTCCACTCCAAGCCAAGCATGGTACATAACCCACTCTCTGAGCGCAGAAGCCTGGTTCCACACCATAGTACACGCACACAACTCATACTTCCCTCTCTTCCTCTTCTGAACTCTACCACCACGAGGTGTACTGACCCTAGCCACAGAAGGCACAAGGGCACGAACCGGGTGCCTCACATTGCCAGCCAAATAACTCACTGTGACCCGAATCCCTCGAACCTTGTCCGGGTTGTTCTTTATGCTCTGTGGCAACAGGCACCTCACAACTTCTTGAGCCACAGAAACCGCCCTCGTGGTAAGCAAAAACGCATTGCCCTGTTGAAAACTCTTGAGCCCGAAATGGCATCGGATCCTGGTCGGATCCGAGATCTTGTGGGGTCGGAGATTCAACCCTTTAACGAACACCACAACGGTGTCTCCGTCAAGGGTCGCCTCGTACGCCACCCTATCCCAAGATTGAGACGTTTGGTTCATTAAAAACCCCATATTCCGGCGTCCCACCTCACCGCGCCGCCGCAATTCGACGGCTTGGGAGCTACCTCCGCCGGTGTAGTTCGTATGGGGAAATGGGCACCTAACGATGGATCGAGATTCATCGTAGCGGTCCGTAGAGAGGACAGGTCGAACCTGAACTTGGACGGGTGGAGCGTGAGAGGTGTCGTTGGGAGGGAGCATGTAGTAGACGCACTCTAGTTGGTGGAGTTGGTGTTGTTGGTGGGGGGTGAGAATGAGGAGGTGGTGGTCGGGGAAGAGGATACGATGTTGGAGGGTGTAGGAGGGTGCGGTGGAGTGAAGAGGGTCAAGAATTGAGTTGCTGGCGGTAGAATACAGGAGAGATAAGGTGGAGGCTGTAAGAGAGGGTCGGAAGGTGGAGGGAGTGAAGAAGAAGAAATGATGGTGGGAGGACAAGAAGAGGAGAAAGATTAAGAAGGAGAAACAAAGAAAAAGTGATCTTGATGAGATGTGGAGGTGTCTTCCCACTGCACGCTTCCTCTTCCGCCTTTGGTCTGAGTCCATCTTTTTTTCTGAAAGAAGTTTAGAAGGCGATGATTGAAGAGATGGGCGTTGTCTGAATGTGAGGAAAGAAGGAGAAGAACGCGTTGGGGGAGGATGGATTTAGAAATTGGAAGCAGGAAGAACAATCGAAAAGAAAAGAAAGAACTAAGAAGGTGCACTCTCTCTCTCTCTCTCAAATGATAAATGGAAAGTGGAAAGGAATGGGATAATGTAAATGGAGGGAGTTAAAGGTCCAAAAGTACTGGACTGACCGGTGAGATTCTGAGGCGAGAATAAACTGGATTGCATTGATTGTTGACGTGTTTAGGACTGTATTTTACTATTATAAATGACGCTCATTATAGCGCGTGAACCCAATGCCGCACTTTCAGCTTTTACTTTTTGCTTTCTTATTCACTAATCTACACACATCTGTCTACTTTATATCTTTTAAAAATCAAATTCATCATAATTGGAAAAAATTGGTGAGATTAAAGTACAATTGATTACGTTGAAAAAAAAAAAGTTTTCTGGTTATAGTTAGAAAGCATTTTTTTTATAGAGATATGTAGTTATAAATAAATATTATGTTATGACTTATTTTATATTGAATTTGTTTAGTTTTATATTAGACTTATTTTTAATTATGTTATGACTTATTACACTTTTTAATGAAATTTTAATTTTATAAATTTCTGCCTATTATTTTTTATTATTATTTTTCATGTATTATATTATATTGAAAAAATTAAAATATTATCTTTTATTAAAACCAGTTTAATCCTAATTTAGTTAAACCTTAAATTTATGCTATTGTGATTCAATGTCTAGTCATATTTTGACAACTTCAAAAATAATAAATATATTCTCACTTGTTTACTTATTTTAAATTCTCTAGCGAAAACTAAAAAATAACAAATGTTGAAAACAAGTAAATATAAGACACCTCCAAACTTTTTTTTGGTCACTTCTTCATTCTTAAAAAATATATTTTTATAAAAAAAAAAGAAAAATTTTAAGATTTTCAAAAACGTATTGTTTTAAATACTAAATTTTTATTGTTCAAAATTCATTTCGAGCTTAATAAGTTAAGCCTTTTAAGTAAATACAGATAACATGTTTACAAAATAATAATAATAATAATAAGGAATTACTATTTAGCCTAAACTTAAACAATGTTATTTTTTTACCTAATTAGTTTTAAAACTGTTCCACTCCTTTAAAAAGTTTATACATCGCATATACAATTTGATTTTACACTTAATATATAGGAATTAGATCAGCCACATATTATATAAAACACATAATAATATAATCATTTTTTTCTTATATATTTCGTTATCTTTTTCATTTACGACGTACCTCTTATTTGACTTGTTAAAATTTAAAATAAAAAATTTGAAAATAATTTTTTAGAAAACATACTTATTTAAGCAGATAGATTTTAGTTTTTAAATTAAGTTAAAAGTGATAATTTTTAAAAGAAGCAGATTAAACATGTTTTTAAAAAATCTAACAGATTTAATACCTTCTTTCAACCAAATGTTCTGTATCAAAACAAATTTAGAGAATCCCCCCGAAAATGCATATAATCTTTTTAGAATTTAGAATATTATACTTTTAATTGCTTAACTAATATGTGCTAAATACTTATAGAATTTAAATAAAAATATTACTTTTTATGCATTGAATAATAAAGTGGACGAAAAATATTGTTTTTATTTTAATTACAAAACTCTATAAAATAAATAATAAGATTTTATTTTTTTTTTCACTTTTATATCACTAGTAAATTATGTATTAACTAAGAAAATAAACAACAATGAAACGATTCCCCTTAATCAGATGCTTGACCTAGCTTATCGGTGGTTTATTGAGATGAATGGTGAAATTTTCTGAGTTTGGTTCCCTTTAATTCTTTGTATACAGGCCAGCCATTTATATTAAGTATATAAGTTATATTCTTTTGAATATTCTCTCCAGTGTTTGACCATCCAATATTAAATAATTATTTATAAAATAAGTTTGAGAGTATACTCTAATTCAATCTAATTTAAAATTGGAATAAAGTGAATTATTATATTTTATGGTATTTTAATATGTAAATTTAAAATATATAATATTAATTTCATTAAAATACTTCCTATACAACTACTGTATACGAAAATTGACACAAGTTTAAATAAATAATAATTGACATAAGTTATGAGTTATAGTGGTGTATGTTTAAATTTATGGGACGAAATTAAGTTTTTTTTTAGAAAATGGAGGAAATTAAGTCATCGATAAAATGGTTATTAGGTCGTTAGTGTAAAGATAACTACGTTTGGAACTGTTAAATAATATCGTACATTTGAGTTTTATTGATTAAGTAGATGTAGTTTAAAAAAATAATTCATTAAAACAGTCAGTCATATTTTTTAACCAGTGTTAATAATAAAAAATAAAAGCATATATCTGTAAAGTTAAGTTTCTAAATTAGCATTACAAAAAACTGTAAAAATAATATTACAGAAATATTTAGATAGAAAATAGTAAATAGTCCTATCGTGTAAAGAATTTTCTCATTGTTATCCTGTAACAAATCATTATTTATGGTAGGTTCAATATTTTGTTATTATTATAATATTAATGGTAAAATTGAATTAATTTACAGTGTAGATTTATTTTCGTTCATATAAATAATTCTTAAACTTTTTATTCAATTTGAATTATATTAACTTAAAATCTATATGAAAAAGAATGAAAATTAATGTAACTCTATTTTCAAGTTTTTATTTCAAGTTCTTAGTTTATTATATTTTTGGCTCAAATTTTCACTTTAAATTGGTTTGATTATTTGCACTCATGTTCTTTATAATTAGGCTCCATTTTGTAAAAAATTACTGAATTTTTTATTTTTATTTTATTTTTTCACTTGGTTCAGGTAGACGTGAAACAGAATCATATGCAAATATTCAATATTATATTGTTTAGATGTTAATTCTTTTGAACACATTAGAGTTAAATAAACATTAATATCGTTTTTCACTTCTAATAAAATTGATATTTAAATTCATTTATTGATGTGACCTAAAATTTCTAATAACATTTTCATGCACCATATTACGAACTTGTAGAACTTAAATTATATATATAAAAAAATGTACCAAAAAAATTAAGAAAAAATGCTTACAATAGAAATTAGTAGCCCACACATTAATTAGGAATTGACAATTGCCAACAAGAGAACCTTTTTATCTTACAAGACAAAGTTCCAAGACATAATTTAATAAAACAAATCCCATTAAAAATTGTATGCAGGCACACATGGTGGACTTTCTGTTGATTTTTGAAGACATCGCGCGTAGGCGAATGTGTAATCCACGACAAATTGAAATTCACATTTGAAGATGGCAACTGCCAACTGGATTGTTACTTTTTTCTCACTAGGTTATGAATTTGACTAGAGTAAATTAACGGTATGAATATTTTTTACATAATCATTTTGTTACATATTATTATGTACAATAAATTAATTATTTTATAATATTTAAAGTGACCCTTGTAATCGAAGTAATAAAGATAGTTTTATTGAAAGTGCGTCATAATTCAACTATTTATTACCCTTCCAAAAGTTATTTTCTTGAAGAAGTTTAATGTTGATAATAAGATATGTTTATCTTATTCATTAATAATTAATTAATCTCTTATAAAATTAAGAAAGACAAAATAAATAAGATTGGACCAAATGATCTGGTTTTAATTAGTAATTTAATATATTAATTTATTTTTGTCAAATGCAGTGAGTTCATCCGTTACTTATTTTTTATTATAATTACTTTTATTTTAATTTTAATATATAAATATTAAAAAAATATTATATTTTTGTGTTATATTATTAAATATATAAATATATTATAATATTATAATTTAAATTATAAATACTGACTAACTAAACTTAAATTATAAATTATAAGTAAGTATATTAACGTATAAATGTAATAATTTAAATAAATTATGTGATAAAATATTATGAATAAATTTTTTAAAATATATTAAATATATAAAAAAATATTAATAAGAAAAAATGAGATCTATAATTCATGTGATTAGTCAGTCTATATCATGTTATTTTTAGTAGGTTAGAAACGAAAGGTAAAATATAAAAAAAATATAGAAAAACTCATTTTTCCCACCCTTATATAAAATAATTAAAAGATATGTAACATGATAATATTAATTATTAATTTATCACATTACAATAAAAATTTTGTTATAATTTATAGAAATTTCCATTTAAAAAATAATACCTCAGTTTCAAATGTTCTATATGAAAATTACGATTTTGTATGTCCGTTCTATATTTTTTTTAATTAATTTTTAAAAAAATATTTTTATATTTATTTAATCTTTATCTATTTTTTAAATATATTTTATTATTTTTGAATATATAAATCATAATATTATTTTTTATAACAAAAATATTTTTATTTTTTCTCTGACGGTATTAAATAACAGTTAAAAATGAATCTCGTTATATTTATATTACAAACTCCTCCAACCCATAATATGAAGCAAATGAAATAGATTCCATCTAGGTTATGGCTCTCGCCTAATTAAGCAAAGTTTGGTTTTAAAGTTTCGCTTTTTACAGATGCTGATTTTGCAATATATTTTTATAATTATTTTCAATTTCACATATAATTAAGGGATTGTGGTGGCTATAACGTGCATACCTAATTTCATTATCTATTGATTCTTTTAATTTTCTAGAAGGAGAAGAGAAACAATATTTTATCATGTTCTTCAAGCGTTTTCTTCTCTTTAAAAATCCTAAGTTGTCACTCTTATTAATTATTGGATATATATATTGAGTTTTTTTAGTATCTATTAATATTATATATTATTGTATGATTAAAGATTCCTATACTTCAAAAATAAAAATAAAAAGTTTATTCTCTATCTTCACTCTTATTTTTTAATTTAATGATTTAAATAAATCATTATTTTATATAATTAAATGATAAGAAAATGAATTA